TAGAATAGAATAGAATAGAATAGAATAGAATAGACTTTATTGTCCCGCCGTGGGGAAATTCGGGCGTCACAGCAGCATCAGTACAGAGGTTCACAGAATAGAATAGAATAGAATAGAATAGAATTTATTGTCCCGCAGAGGGGAAATACAGGTGTCACAGCAGCATCAGCACAGAGGTTCACACACTGGTTTACAAACTATAAAGCAGGGATAGTCAAYGCTGGTCCTCGAGGTCCGCAGCCCTGCATGTTTTACTTGTTTCTCTGCTCCAACACACCTGATTTGAATGAAGAGTCAGGCTTCTGCAGAACCTGGAAGAGGTAATTCACCGGCTGAATCCAGTGTGTTAGAGAAGGGAAAAAAGTAAAACATGCAGGGCTGTGGACCTCGAGGACCAGCTTTGACTATCCCTGCTATAGACAATGCACACAAAACGAAATTACCACTAACTAGCAATGATACTACTACTAACAATAAAAATATAATGGACTATGCAAGAACAAAAAAAAGATGTTTTGTTTTAGATATACTTACCTATCAGAATTTGATATTAGGAATTAGAATTTGCCTGTTTTCAGTGCAAAACAATCGCAACAAACTATTGACTGTAAAGTATCACAGTGCAGACAAGAAATACAGATGTGCATTATTTTAAAGGTCAAATGGGCAATAACAGAGCATATGATTGCTCTGATTGGTAACACAAATGAGTGGTAGTGCAAATGATTGTTCAGATGACTAATGACAATGAATAATAACAGTACAATAATAACAGTAATAATGATAATTTTGTTTGTATTACAATTTCAGTGTTCAAGTGGTGTGTTTTTTTAGGTTACGTTTCTCCACTTTTACCACCTCCCAAGCATGTTGTACTTTCCATTTAGTCAGGTGTAAAAGTGCACTACAAATCTACATTTTATTATGTGACTGATTAAACAGAAATAAATTTACTGCAAACAGTAATATAATTAAAGTCAATTCCACCCTTCCTATGGTGTGATCCTCACCTGAGAGTTTCCAGTTTGCAGTGTGGACTCTTCAGTCCAGCAGCTAGAAGCTTCACTCCTGAATCCTGCAGGTTGTTGTTACTCAGGTCCAGTTCTCTGAGACTGGAGAACTGGGAGCTGAGAACTGAGGACATAGCTTCACAGCTTCTCTCTGAGAGATCACAGTAATTCAGTCTGAGGAGACATTGATGAGGGAAGAAAATTGCTAAATTGAAGTGTTCAAAAACTGACAAATTTTAAAATTTCATTATTATTTTTTGCAATGCACCGTAATGAAACTGATTTTATATTGCCATTGGGTAAACAGATTTTTGAATTGTAAAATCATTAAGTTTGAGATCTTTGAGAACCAACATAAATCCAACAAAAGGAGGTGGTTTTAAGATTTCTGCTGGTACACTGGTACAGGAATAGGAACAGGAATAAAAAACTAAGCCCCCATCCCCCACC